CCCGCCTCGTTGCCGCCCGTCGTCGCTCGTCGCCTGGGCCTGCGGGCCGCTCTGGTCGCCATGTGGCCGCCGTCGCCACCCCATCGCCGCCCGTCGCCTGGGCCGGCGGGCCGCTCTGGCCGCCATGTGGCCGCCTCGTCGCCGTCGCCGCCCGCTTCGCATAGCTCTGCAGTGCAAAGCATTGCTTCGCACGGCTCTGCATTGCTTCGCAATGCTTTACACTGCTTTGCATGGCTTCGCATTGCATTGCGTTCCTTTGCATTCCTGCGTTTGCTTTGCATTGCTTTGCATAACGTTGCATTGCTTTGAATTTGCTTTGCACCACCTAGATTGCGCCACATGGACTACACCACCAAGATTGCTTCTCGTTCATGTATTCCCCTCCCCTTGCCTTGACTGGTCATCCTGCTATCCACCACCTCATATGTATGCAGCTCCCTTTTTGTGATTGCGCATGCCATAATGGGGTTTCTTGGGGGGGTCCAAGTCCGTTATGACACGCATCCGCGGATAGGGAACAAACCAGCGCCATTTGATGGGAGGGGTGGGAGGGGTAAGATGTCCGATACGGCGCGAGCGCATCTAGCTTATCCTCCTCCCCCTCCCCTCGCTCGCCCCCCCCCACCCGCTGGGGTCCATCTTCTGATTCCTCTACTTCGCGGGTGAGCTCAGAGAGCGGCCTCAGGTGCAGAGTAGAGTTGTCAGTAGAGCTGTATCGCACTTAGGATGGCGGTCATCCCTGTACTCCCCCTCCCTCTCGCCCCCCTCCCTCCCTCGGGTGTTGCTAGAAGTACCCCTGGCCCAAGGTGCCCCTGCGTTTCGCTTCATTTTGGGGCCCCTGGGGCCCTCTGGGCCCTGCGAGGGGTGCCCTGGAGCCCGTCTGGGCCACCCCGAGAATCCTGGAGGGGTACCTTTTGGGCCAGGGGCACTTCTAGCAACACCCGACTCCCGCCTTCCCCGGGGACCCCCGGCGCCGCAGAAGGGACCCCCGGCCCGCGCCCGCCAGCGGGGGAGCCGGCGCCGACGGCGGCGGCGCGCCCCCGCCCGGCGCCTGCAGCGGCAGCGCGCCTCCTCGGGGCGAGACAGCGTCGTCGGTCGTCGTCGTCGTCGTCGTCGTCGACGGTCGTCGTCGTCGTCGTCGTCGTTGTCGTCGCCGTCGCCGTCGCCGTCGCCTTCGCCGTCGCCGTCGCCGTCGCCGTCGCCGTGGCGGCCGCCGTGGCCTTGAATTTTTTGTTTTAGGATTTCAACATCGTGTTGTGATGCCTGGAGCAGCCAAAGTTTGCCCAACATGTTAGCCAGCGTGGACCCAAAACAGTCTGTTTCTAGCAGCTCGTGGCGTGCAATCCATATACATATATATATATGTACCTACACACATATATGTTATTAGAGATGTGTGTGGGTGTATGTATATATATACACATGAGGCAGTGGTGCAATCTACGTAGTGCAGTCTATGTGATGCAAACTACGTGGTGCAATCTATGTGACCGTCTTGAAGCTGTCTTCCCCACTGCTCGTGCAAACATCCCACCCTCCCACCCGCAACTTGGTCGCAAGACCTCTTAAGTCAAGACCGTGACGGTAGGTACCACATGGCACTTGGCCACGACGCCGACGATGACGACGACAGCGACAACGACGACGACGGCGCTGCCGACACCGACTACGACGACACCGAAGGCGTCTCCAACGACTTCGACGACGACAACGACGACGAGGACGACACCGACGACGACGCCGACTACGACGACGACGACGGCGGCGACGACGACGACGCCGACATTGACGACGACGAAGACGACGACGCCGATGCCGACGACGACGACGACGAAGACGACGACGACGTCGCCAACGAAGACGACGACGAGGGAGGAGGGAGGACGACGACGGCGACAACGACGACAACGACAACATCGACGAGGGAGGAGGGAGGATGGCGACGACGCGAACGACGAAGAAGGAGGAAGGACGGCGACGCCGACGACGACAACGACGAGGGAGGAGGGAAGACGACGACGACGACAACGACGACGACGACGACGGCGACGAAATAGGAGGGACGACGACGAGACGCCGACGACGGACGACGACGACGACGACGAGGGAGGAGGAGGAAGGACGACCACGGCGACAACGACGACGGAAACGACCACGACGCCAAAGAGGACGACGACGGCGAACACGAGGAAAGGCAGAGGACGACGTAGGCGACGACAACGACGACGACGCGGGAGGAGGGAGGACGGCGACGACGACGACGACGACGCAAGAGCGTGCGCGCACGCTTTTGTTGAAAATCCGTGGTGCGAAACCTTGTGTTGTTGTAGGTTTTTGTGACACACGATTTTGAAATCCTTCCCACGCCGAACGGTTTTGAAGGATTTTTTTTGCATACGCGCTCGACGACGCGCGCGTCTGCACTTCGTACCTTTTTTGCAGAGGATTCTCGCGACGGCACACGCGCAAGGGCGTTCGACAGATTTCGACATGCGCGCGAACGAAGCCCGTCTGGTAGCATTTTGTGAAAACCTTGAAAAACCGATGGTTTTCATAAGATGTCGCAAGAGCTCGCGCGTAAGCTTTTTTGCAAATCAGTGTTGCGACTCGATTGCGAAATCCTTCCGACACCGAAGGTTTTTGAAGGATTTCGGCATGCGCGCGCGACGACGCTTTGCAAAACCATGCGACGGTGATTGCGATGAGAGCGTGGCATTGGTTGATGCATCTCTGCGGCCGCGCTAGTCCGCACATGCTCGCAAGCGCAACGGCTAGCGTTTTGTTGCGAACGGTTTTCGCGGCAGCACGCGCGCGGAGGCGTTCGAACGATTTCGGCACGCGTGCGCGAAACCCGCTCGGTAGTTTTTTGGTGTGGAAATCATGGAAACCGAATTTTTTTATGAAGAATTCGCAAAAGCGCGCGCGAGGTTGTTTTGAAAATTCGCGTTGCGACATCATGCGTTTTCATGTTTTCACATGTTGTTTGGACACCCGATATTGGCAGCCTTACGAAACCGAAGGCAAAGGATGGCGGGGGGGGTCGGTACCCGCCTGGCTGGGATGGTACGGGCTCATCTTTAGGATGGACGATGGGGCAGAACCATTTGTAAATAACTATGGAAAAAAGGGAAACAGATCATCCCAGGGGAGGTTGAGCCTATTCTTGTTTAGCAAAGGAGAACCAACGTTGTGCAATGTATGCGGTGCAGTCTGTATTGTGCAAGCGATACGGTCCAAGAAATGGTGCGCAATGTATTTTTTGTTTTGCTCCAACCCACGTGGTACCAGAAACGTTGTGCAATCAATATGGACTAGCCTACGTTGTGTAACATGTGTGGCGCAATCTAAGCGGAACAACATCGGGGGTGCAGCACATATGGCGCAATTAATGGTGAAACCATGGGTTGTGCAATATTATATGATGTGCAACTTCGATGATACTGCTCATTTTAGGCAATCGACGTAATGCAATATAGGTTGTGCAACCCACGCATCGAAAAATACGTGGTGCAACCGATGCTCGGCAATCCATGTTGTGCAAAGTATGCGCAACATACGGTGTGCAATTAATGCATGCTCGCGGTGCGTTGCCAGCCCCACTGTTCGCGCAACCGTCCCACCCGCCCATCCACCCACCCGTAATTTGGTTTGCAAAACCCATGCGGCGGCGTGTTCGGTGTTCGCTGGTGCATTTTTGCGGCCGCGCTACCCCGCGCATGCTCGCGCGCGCGCCGCCTGGCCGCCGCCGCCGCTCGCCGCCGCCGCGGTCGGGACTTGCCGTCGTCCTCGCCGCCGCTCGCGCCGCTCGCCGCCGCCTCCGTCGCCCGTCCCCGGGGGCCCAGACCGAGGCGCGCCCGCCGCGCCCCAGCCCCCCTTGCCGCCGCGCCCGCCGGCCGAGCCACTCGGGCCGACGCTGCTGCCCACGGAGCCGCGCGTTCAGGACCCCGCCCAAAATTGGAGCCAGCTGCTGGGAGGCTTTCGTCGGAGATGCTAAGGAGGATTGAGCCCCACTGGGGGGGGGTCCTACGCCGGAGTAGGCCGCAAATCAGGCGGGATTGAGCCGGATTCAACGGGATTCGGCCGGACTCAGCGGGGTCAAGCCGGATCAAGCGGGATCAAGCCAGATGAAGCCGGATCGGACCAGGGCAAAAAGTTCGAAGTTTACATCCCAGGAGTTGCATCCGAATTTGCCAGAACGTTTGTGTTTGTTTGTTGCACGGCGGGGGCGATCCTAGGTCACCCGCGGGGGGCGCATAGGTTGTCGCGTCGCGCGATTTGCTGCCCGTGCCGACGAGTTCCGCCTCCGCAGCAGGGCGGCGCGAGAGCGCGCGAAAACAACCGCGCCTCGCGCCGCTCTGCCGAGAAAGCGGAGCTCGTTCGTCGTTGCAGGATCGAGGTTTCGCTTGTTTGTCGTTTTTTGGCCCCCGAGGTGGCCCTCGCCGCGAAGGCTGGATCCGCCTTGAAACTCTGGTCACACCCCACTCCGGGGGACGTCTGGAAATCGACCGCCGCCGGTGATGTCGTCGCCGTTCCTTTCTGGCGACTGGAAACGATCCGCCCCAGCTTGTTCGTCATCTTCGGCGTCTGATGACTGGTTGCAGATCTTGGGGATGTAAGCCACATTGCGAACAAAATTGTACCGGGAAGCGGTGGAGAGCTCCAGGGTTCGAGGGGTCGGCGACTAGAAATTTCAGTCGTCTGAGGTTTAGCTTGTCGTTAGGAGGAGTAGGAGGAGGAGGAGGAGGAGGAAGGGAGGACGAGAAGTAGGAGGAGGCAGGATGATGAGGACGAGGGGCAGAATGGGGAGGGGGATGCAGTGGTAATAGTTGTTCCAATTTCTATATTTGTTCAAGTCACGAGGAGGCAAAGATTGACCCCCTGGATCCCTGGCCCCAGGGACCCCCTTGACCCTGGACGCTTATCAGAGGATCCCCCAGGATTTCCAGACCTCCTGATTTATTGTGCGAGGCCTGGCGAGCTGGCCCAACGCGGTCGTGAGGATGGCGAAACGACCTCGCGAGAGGTCCAAGCTGCCCCAGACACGACACCCACCCCATTTGACGCCAGATGACGCCCCTCAAAACGCATAAAGCATTGATTAAAACATTGATTATCATGTGGTTGTGGCTTGAGTTTGGGATGATAGGTTCTGCGATCTTCGGGCGTCGGGACCTCCCAAGAAGCCCCGAAATTCGTCCCGAATCCACTTGAAAGGGCCCGCAGACACTTCAAGAGAACCCCACGACGACCCAACAGGGCCCCAAGATGGCCGAAGATAGCCTCAAGATGGCCCCAAGACGCCCCCCGAAGCGTTTGAAATCGTGACCCGGCCGTTGAGGGAGACCGCGGTTCCCAGCAAGGTTGCGCGAGGAAGCCCCCAGAGGCCCCCCAATGGCGCCCAGGAGGCCGCCAGACGCCCCCATGAAGCTAGTAGAAAGGTTTACTGAGGCCTCCAAGAGGCTTTCCAAGGAGAAGCCCGCAAACAAAAAGATAAGGGCGGGGAAGGGTTCGCAGGTAAGGCGATAACGAGAAAGAGGAAATAGTTGGTAAGGGGCAGGAGGCACACATGATACGCCATGATTGAGAATGTGGCTCTCGCCTCAGCGCCGTCCAGATTCTTCATCGGAGCCGAAGGGGGATCAGCGATGCAGTTGGCACTTTGCATTGTATGTTGCTGTGCCGCTCCATTCGGGTGCATCATTTGCCACAACGCGCGCGTGACGCACTGGTATCGCCGACCTGTTGGCCTGGTAAGCTTTATTGGGTCAGGTTAGCTTTGGCGCAGTGTCGACAGGGGCTGGGTCAGGTTAGGTAAGGGATGTGTTTGGTTAGGCGGGCGACGAAAACGGCATACAGGTAGTACCGTCGTTTATATCGATGTTCCTCTCTTGTTCCTCCCGCACGTCGAAGTTGAAGGCACAAGGTGCACAGTGTGATGCAGCCGCGCCTTCTTGTGAAGTGACATATTCATATATATATATATATATATACATATATATATACACATATATACATATATGTATATAAACATACATACATAGGTGTGACGTATGTGATGCATGATACATAAACATAACATATACCAATGTGAGTACACACGCGCACACATATATATATATATATATATATATATACACATATGTGTATGTGTGTGCTTCGCTCATTCCGCAGGCCCTCGAGCGCTCTTGGGGGCCTCTTGGAGGCCTCTTGAGGGCCTCTTGGGGGCCTCTTGGGGTTCCTTGGCGGCATCTTGGGGGCCCCTGGGGCCTCTTTGGAGGCTCTTGGAGGCCTCTTGGGGCGGAAGGAGGAGGTAGTTGATTGCGGCTCCCCCCTCGGAGGCCACGATCCTCGTGAGAGGTGTCGAGAAATGGCCCTCCCCTGGGGCGTTCTGGGGGGATCGCCCGGGAGTGGACTGGGACTTGGCCGGGGTCATTTTCGTTCGAGGCCCCCAAGGGGCCGCCCCGCGCGCGCGAACTAGAAAGATTGCGAATCTTTCCATATATATATATATACACATATATGTATGAATATATGTATACATATATATATACATAACAAATCACTAAAGTATCCCAGTGCGACCCTACCTAGGAGTTGGAGCCTCTAGGAAAGCAACATTAGTAGGAGCGGTAAGCGCCGTCCTCCTCCTTCTCCTCATCGTCGTAGTTGGACCAGTAGCGGTAGTAGTAGTAGTAGTAGTAGTAGTTGTTGTTGTTGTTGTTGTTGTTGTTGATGCTGTTGTTATTGTTGTTGTTGTTGTTGTTATTGTTGTTGTTGTACTACTACTACTACTACTACTACTACTACTACTACTACTACTACTACTACTACTACTAGTACTACTACTACTACTACTACTACTACTACTACTACTACTACTACTACTACTACTACTACTACTACTACTACTACTACTACTACTACTACTACTACTACTACTACTACTACTACTACTACTACTACTACTACTACTACTACTACTACTACTACTACTACTACTACGACTACTACGACTACTACTACTACTACTACTACTACTACTACTACGACTACTACTACTACTACTACTACTACTACTACTACTACTACTACTACTACTACTACTACTACTACTACTACTACTACTACTACTACTACTACTACTACTACTACTAGCAGCGCCATAACCGCCGACGCCACGCCGTAAGT